TGTGGCCTGATGAAGGTTTTCCGGCCGAAAAACACATATTCTATCTGTGCCTCCCCATGGTGTTTATGTATAGCTTCGGCTCGGTATCGTTTGGGGTTGGGCTAAAGGGAAAGGAAGGCCACGCTTTTGGACCCTCAAAGAATAACCAAATCAATATTTACTATCTCTATATCATCCAGTATGCCTACCGATTCATCACCTGACGAAAGTTTTGGCCAAAAAAAGTACCATAGTGTATCATTTTGTAATTTGGGCTCGGTACCGCTTGGTGTTGGGCAAAGGGAAAGGAAGCCACGGTTTTTTGGAACCCTCAAAGAATAAGCAAAACAATATTTACTATCTCGAAATCTTTCATTATGCCTACGATTCATCACCTGATGAAGTTTTGCCAAGAACGAGTATTCTAACTAGTGTTCATGCATATTTTGGGCTCGGTGCCGTTTGTGGTTGGGTTAAAGGGAAAGGAAGGCCACCCCTTGTTGGAATATACTGGGGTACCCTCAAAAAAAAGCAATCCAATATTTACTATCTCTATATTTAGTAATTTATGCATACGATGAATCACCTGATGAAGGTTTGCAAAAGCAAGTATTCTATGTGCCCCCCCCCCCCAAAAGGTGTTCATGAATATTTTGGGCTCGGTACCGTTTGAGTCTCTGGAGAATTTGCTGTATATGAAATATTTTATCTGTTTGTGGGAGAGGGGCGTGGCCCGTCGGGCTGAGCATTTGAGCTCCGATAAAGTAAATGCGTGTGTCTTTCTTAGGGGGACCCCTCAAAACGGTTGGTTTCCGTTTGGTTTTGCATATACCCTTGAAGGAGAGACGGACCCAAATGGAAAATCATGGGACCCACAGCCACATGGTTTGCTGAAAGCCGTACATAGAAACATCTAGCAACGGGCTAGCAGCTAGGACATTTATCGCAGAGTAGTTGTTCATAGCAGAAACCCTTATTTTGAAATATTGTGTCTGTTGTTTTCTTATTTTGAAATATTCTATCTGTTGTCTTCTTTTTGGTTGAAGTATTCTATCTTCATTTTCTTGTTTATTCTAATTGACTTTTTTCCTATATATTCTAACTCATTTTTTGATAGACTTTTGAAATGTGCATTTTCATTTACTCTAAAAAGTATATTCTAACTGCTAGCCCGATACTATAGACAAGCCAGCAGATAGGATCATACCAGCACCAGGCCGGCGGGCCGCTGAGCCACAAGTTCCTGCTGCGCAACGACAAGAAGCATCACCTGACGTTCCAACTCAGCCACATGTTACATTAACACTTGCACTCAGACGCACACACGCACGACTCTGAAAACCAGAAGAGCTCAGGAAACTTCACCTGCAACACTTCCATATGTCAGGAGAGCAGTTCAGATTCAGGACTAACCGACGACCTCTACGACAAGGATCGAGCAGAATGCGAACCTTGTTAGAAGGCTGCCATAGCTCCATCACGGAGCAAGACCAGTGGCCTCAGAGCAGAAACGTTCGGCGAGTTGACATTCATTGGTCGTTGCCAAGTCCTTTTAGGGACCAGTCCACAAATCAATGTTCTTGTGATCCCTGACGGGCCACAACACTTCCATCCAACGAAGCTAGCAAGAACAACTGATGTCACCGATATGCGTTTGTCATCTCCAGCCGAAATGCTTTGTTGGAGACCAAGCATTCATGACAGAAATTGGGAGACGTTCTACAACAGTGTTGACATTATCCGCCTCATTAAGAGACAAGCCTCCCTAATGCTCAACTCAATCAAGGCAGGTGTAGCGCCAGCCTCAGGAAAGGCCAAAACCTACAAGCAACTCGTGGAGGCAGCAGCAACCGCAAGAAACCTCTCCGTGACAGACGGAGGAGTCACGTCATTGGAACTAGCGTTCGGACGCAGGCCAGCAGAGCTTGTCCAATTGGCGATAGCAACGCCGCAACTCACTATTCCAAAGTTAGAAGAAGAGTTGACTGCTGGACAGATTCGACTACTTTCGCAACAATCGTATCAAGAGGCCCGAGAGTCAGAAGATGTTCGACGAGACCTCGCGCAACACCTGCGCTTCAATCGTAATTGTTGAGTCGACGGTTCTGACAAGGTGCTTGTGGTTCCTACAGTTGAAAGGAAACCAAACGGCTCTTGGTTCTTCAGTGCAATCATCGCTGGATATCAGAAACGGTGCGCTTCGTATGATATATTCTCTGCCAAGAAGGTGAAAATGCAAGAACCGCTATGGGGCAGAATCCATGTTGACTGCAAGGAACGCGATTTAAGATGCCAGCGGCTGAAGTCAAAGTTGCCAAGCTGCTTGCGAGGCTTCTAAGCGCGTGCGCTTTGTCTTTCTCAGGGCATCGAACAAAATAGCACAGATGTTTTTTCTGGGGGCTGAGGCCCATTTTGCATCGCCCTTTGCCACCACCTCTGGCAGCGCCGTGGCCTGCGGCTCGGGCTTTCAGGGGTCGGCAAACAAGCCTTTGTAGAACCGCACAAAAATGCAATTGAGGTTTCCAAGCGCCAGAAACTTTTGAATTCAAATCTGCCTTGATTGCACAAGCTGTCTTGCCCTGAACTACGAACCCCGGACGGGAGCCCGAAGTGTGGAAGAGTCTGTTTCACATTCCCTCGAAATTCCCCATTCCCGTCATGTCCCTTTAAAAGCTCAAGCGCGACGGACGCGAGGTTCAGATCACCCAGCCGCCTTGGCATTCGAGGCGCCGCGTCGGGACAGCTGGGCTTGGGGGTGTGGCGCTTGGAGACACAGGGATGGTTTGCGCTGCCCCAGTCTGGGTGGCCCTCTGCGTGCGTAGTTTGCTTAAAGGGGCCCCCGGTTGGGTTCGATCGTTTTGTTGGTCTCCGTCTGGATTGCTTTTGCTTGCGTTATTTGAACGCTTGGTTTACGGTGGCGCCTGTACGTGGTCTGAATGCCGTTCGTCGAAGAGCATGTGTATCTCGCTCGGGGTGCTACTTCACTTGCGAACTTCTCGTGCCAACTTTTCCGGTGTTACTTAACTTGGCAACTTCTCCCGCCAAATTTGTGCGACTGCGCCTACCAACTTTTCCTGCCAACTTTCAAGTGTTACTTCACTTGCCAGCTTCTCCTGCCAACTTTTGGAGTAGCGCTTCACCCGCCAACTTCTCCTGAAAAAATCGGTGTTACTTCACGTGACAACTTTATTTCAACTTGTCCTGCCAACTTTTCGGGTGTTACTTCACCACCCTAAGCTAGCTTTTCTTTTGCGCCTTCCCCTCTCGAGTCTTAATTCTTCGTCTTTTTCTGCTGTGAGGGAGCGCCTTGGGAGTGTGCCGTTATCTCGGCAAACCCTCAGCTGAGATCGCGCGCGTCGAAGGTTGTCGCGCTGCGCCCATGTCCTTGACAGCTGTTCAACCGCAATGCGCAAGGCCGTGCTGCTTGCGACCGCTTTTCACGGACCTTGGGGGTTTTCAGGCCCATCCTGCAAGTTTACGCAGTGTGACGGATTTTCACGCAAGTGCCTGATTTTCGCGGGCTTTTTGCGGATTTGGTGGCAGACGGTCAAGCGGGCTTTTCACGGCTTCACGCTCACATGGCTTCAAAATTCCAGGCAGGCGCAGCGCCTTCGCTTGCATTGTCAGGCGCGGATGTTGCGGGAGGCTCCAGGTGATTTCGTGGTCGGCGCAGCGCTTTCGCAAAGCCTTCGCGCCGGGCTTGCAAGTTCGGGAGCGTGGTCAGAAAAACTCGTGGCAGGCGCAGGCAGCACTGTCGAAAGGCAACGTGCAGATTTTCCCGCGGCTCAGCACTCTAGCAAGTTTGGGTATAGATTTCGCAGCGTGGCGCTGTCGCATTTGCAAGGGCGCGGATTTTTGCTCTAGGCGCAGCAGTTTCGAGGCCAGGCGGGTTAAAACAGGTTCGGCGCAGCGCTGTCGCCAGGTCAGGTGCAGATTTCATGCCAGGCCAGCACCCCCGCTAGACTGCTAGATCGGGTGCAGATTTCGTGGCAGCCGCCTGGTCGTGTGGCGGCTGCAAAACTTTCGCAAGATCGCACGCAGATTTCGCGGTTCGGAGCAGTGTCTTCACAAAGCCGACTGCGTGGCAAACTCGGCATTTCGTGGTGAGCGCAGCGCTTTCACACGGGTGCGTGCGCAGCAACATTGTAATTAAGCTTGCGCGCGACATTCGCGTTTGACAAAAGATCGCGTTCCCGTGGACAAACTGCGACTTTGTAGTGTTGCCTCGCACGCAGGCGCACTTGTTTGCGTGTGCGACAATTCCGTCCAAACATTGTTCCCAAGTGGTGTTTGCGCTACACAATAGGGGTTCCGCGATGATTGCGCAACAGGGGTGGAGGAGCCTGTCAGGTGCCACTGCATACAGCTATGAACAGGAGAGGTTGACAAGAGAAACGGACTTGACTGAAAGATTTGGGCACGAGCTGAAGACTGCGGGGAGGCTTCGCTTGGCCTCTGCGGCTCGAACAGCGACCCCACGTCTGAGCTGCTTGATTCCTTGGTCGCCCCCTTCAACAGAGGCATGTTTCCATAAAAACGATTTTCCCCGGAAGTGCGCGAAGGGTTCTTCTCAAAAACGGCTGCTCTTGCGAACTTTTCAGAGTTACTTCACTTGCCAGCTTTACCTGCCAACTCTTCGAAAGTTACTTCACTTGCAGCTTCCCCTGCCAACTTTTCCAGAGTTTCTTCATTGCCAATTTTCCCTGCCAACTCTTCAAGTGTCTTCGCAAGTGCTTTTGACCTCAGGTTTCACTGGGCGCCCAATGGTGCTTAGATTAATCTAAGACCGAATGTTTCTGCAAACTGCATGTAAACAATGTTTTTATGTGTCTGTCACAGAAAGTTGATGCATTCACATCAAAGAATTAGGAGCTGCTCAAACACTTGGCTGATATAGCACTAGGCCAATTGCTTCCACCTTTGTCCAACCCGCCCATCCAGGCAAACGAATTGTGCCCTTGTAGCAAGCCCAGTCAGCGCTAACTTCAACCAATACTGCCTTCACGGTGAAAGAGCCCCCTGCTTTTTGTCCACCTGCCTATCTGGCTCGGCCCATCAGGGCCCGCAGCAGGAAACTTGCCTTGAACAGCTAATCGCAAGGATGGCGTCTTCAGGCGCCTGCTGTTCCTTGGAGGAAGTATTTCTTGTACAAAGCGTCCATTGGAACTCGTAGGCTTTGCTGGTCTTGTGCCAAGTGAGGCACATTGACGGAGAAAGTTTCCAAAGACTTTTTTTATCATATGTGATGGCCACGCCACTCATGGGCCAGTAGGAATGATGCCTTCAGGGGTCGGCCACAAGTCAGAACGATGAAGCATTGCACTTGGTTGGAGCATGTTCCATTTGCGGAGCGCCCGTAAGACTTCACGTGCAAGCGGCACGCGCAAAGCCCGTTGTGCGGCGTTCTTCTTCAAAGGGCCCCGCAAAGGGAATTTGGTGGAAAATAGAGGTGGCCTCTTGGACCCTTTCTTGCAATTTTCTCAGCATATCTCTGTGAAAAAGAATCCTTGAACGTTGTAGTGGTTTGAGCCCCGACTGCAGTGCGGCTTGAACTGATTGCTTCCCAAATGTACATCCCTGCAGCCAAAGGGTCATGTCCTCCTGCACTTGGCTCACACTCCGGCCAGGCTGCAAGTCAAATGGTTGCTTGCTAGAACAAACCAACTCCAAGTCTCATGTTCAGCCCTGCCCCAAACAGTCTTAGAGCCAGTTCGTTCGCAAGCCTGTGGCACAAGTTCGTTCGCAAGCCTGTGGCACAAGTGCCACAGTGGAAACATAATAGTAATGTGACTACATTCCAATCACATGGCGAAACAAAGGCTCCCACTGTCATCTGCGAAGCACCGTTGGCTTTTCTCCGGCTCCTGCGTCTTGCAAAAACTGATGTTTCGGTGGCAGGCGCAGACGGTGAGCCCGACACGGCTCCCGCCCCCCTTTGGAAACAGCGCTTTCGCGTTGCTGTCTGAGCGGCGTGCTCCGCATCTCAAAGCTTCGCGCCATCTCTTGCCTCTGATCGTCTGCAGTCTTTGGGCCGCCTGCCCGTTGCCAAGGACTCTAGAAATCTATCCTAAGTTTGGAAGCCGCTACGCTGCGGATATTTGCAGCGCCCCGAGCTTCAGACAGCGTCTAAACGCACATGTTGAAACATTTACGGAGGAGGACAAGGAGGACTGTTTAAACATTGTCAAGCAAGTGCGGAGCTCCGTACATGTTGAACTGTAGAAAGCTTCAACAATTTAGAGCCCGACTCTGACAACAGCATTATCAGTGACGGCGACAGCGACGACGACGACAATGCCGACCACAACGGCGTAACAGCGGCAACAACAACAACCGAGAGAACAACAACAACCACAACACCAACAACCAAGAACCAACAACCACTGACCACCACTCAACAACTACCAACAACCGTTCAGCATCATCAACAACAACGACAAGAGCAACAACAAGAACAGCAACAGGCGCAGAAGCAGCAGCAGCAGCAGTAGCACCAACAACGCCAACCAAAAACAAGACAAAACGAAAGCAATCAGCGCAAGCAAGCAGCAAACACAAAAACGGAAACAACGCAACACACGAAACAACAAAAACAGCAATCGCAACAGCAAAAGCAACAGCAAAAGCAACATCAAGCGCAACACCACAAGCAACACCAAAAGCAACACGAAAGTAACAACAAAAACAAACAACAACATAGGCAACTACAAAGGCCACAGCAGAAGCCACAGAAGAAGCAACAACTCAACAACAACAAAACAAAAACCCGATTTGATTTGGACAATGCGAACAGGAACCAAGACGAAAGACAGATCTGCAACACAAAGCAACAACAACAACAACAACAACAACAAGAACACAACAACAACAACAACGACGACGACAACAACAACCACGACAACAACGACAACAGCAACGGCAACGACAACAACACGAACAACAACAACAACAACAGCAACAACAACAACAGCAACAGCAACAGAAACAGCAACAGCAACAACAAACAACAAACAAGAAGCAACAGACAATAGACAACAGGCAACAACAGCAGCAGCAACAGACACAACAAAACAACATCAACAACAACAACAACAAGAACAACCACAGCAACAGCAACAGCAACAGCAACAACAACAACAACAATAACAACAAAACAACCACAACCGCAGCCACAACAACAACAACAACAACAACAGCAACAGCAACAGCAACAGAAACAGCAACAGCAACAACAAACAACAAACAAGAAGCAACAGACAATAGACAACAGGCAACAACAGCAGCAGCAACAGACACAACAAAACAACATCAACAACATCAACAACAACAACAACAAGAAGAACAACAACAGCAACAGCAGCAGCAGCAACAACAACAACAAAACAACCACAACCCCAACCACAACAACAACAAACAACAATAAACCAACAACAAACAACAAATAACACACAACAAGCAACAAACAAACATAGCAAACAACAAACAACAAACAACAAACAACGAACAAGACACGACCCACAACAACGACACCAAACACCAAACACCAAACAACAGCAACAACAGCAGCACAACAGCAACAGCAACAACAACAGCAGCAACGGCAACAGCAACAAACAACAAACAACAACCATGACCACGACAACAACAACAACAACCGCAACCGCAACCGACAACTTCAACGACGACGACAACGACGACGACAAACAACAACAAACAATAAACAAAA